GTACCCATCTAATTTAGCCTCTAGAGAATGATGCCTCAAAATTATATCATGTTGGCGTCATTGCACTTAGTTAAGTCATTCCCACCATGCCTAGTTCGTGTAGGGGTTCAAGCATAGCCTCAGAATTATATCATGTTGGCTAAACTCGTTGCCTACCTCACTTCATCATGTATGTATATAGAACTCCTCCTGAGTGTAAGCACGCACTTTGTACTCCCCCATTATAGGGTGAAGCCGGTGTACGAGTCACATACGATCGGAGCCTACCATGGTGGAAGGCCACGAAAGAGTGTTCAAAGCACTCTCACGCTTATCAACTTAATAATGGTTTGGTTGAGGGTTTTAGGTCTCATCACATATAAAAACATACATTTTAATCTCTATTAAAACAATTTTGGTCCTATTACAACTATTGGTCCATATGATTGTTTTTAGTTGTATATAATACTCCCACTATGCTTATAAAACGTTTTTAAAACAAGAGTATATGATACTACTAACATAACCTTTGCATTCATTTGATGGATTATATAGTTGTCTTAGGGCCTTAGGATGATTATGAACCTTTGTTTAGATTCAACACGAGCCTTGTGTTGAATCTCGGTCTAGGGATGGTGATTGTGATTGATTTTAGTTACGCATTTAATCACATTAAGGCGTGTTGTCTTAGGGGCGTTGGACCCAACTACTTCATTTTCATGCATATCAAATAAAGCAAGAAAGAAGTACTTCAAAGTAAAGGTGAGCTTATGCTCATTACAACATTTGCTTAAAACAAATTAATTTAAAGTAAAGAAGAGCTTAAGCCCTTTTACAACATTTGATCAAATCAAATTACAACCAAAATCTAATCTACTCATTCCCATGGTTCAAACAAATTTGAAACGGCCTATCACATAACTCAATTATATTAGGCTTAGGTTCATAATCACCCTTTAATTAATTAACACTTTAACTAATTAAATTGAATGCAACATTTTCATTTGGTTTTTGTATCCATAAAATTGATTTAAATGGAGCTAAATGAAATGAAAATCCAATTCTCATTTAAAGAGACAAAACAATTTTGTTCTCTACCTAATTTGGGCCAAATTGCAATTACCACAACCTTTGGGCAATATTGCAAAAACATAAACTTTTGGGGTCATTTTGTAAGAACACAAAAGTCCACTACTTCATGTAATTACACTAGAACCCAAAATTTAAACAATGTAAAAACTTCATTAAAGGAGCAAAACAATTTGTCCTTTAGCGTTTTTGGATCTAAACGTAAAAACGTAAACTTTTGAGCCAAAGTGTAAATACACAAAAGTATCAAAACTTTATGTAATTGCATAAAAGACCCAAAAGTACTCCCATTGAGGGAGGGCCGGTTTTTAGAGAGTGAAAGGGAGTGGAGATAAGTCCACAAAAATTTGGAAATTTTTCAACAATTTCATAAAGCCTTGCAAGTGGAATTTGTGACATAAATTCATGCAAGTGGTATGTGACTTAAAGTCATGCAAGTGATGTGTGTGTAAGAGAAGTACTTCTTACACACCTATCACCATTTCCATCACCTTACACAATTTCTATCACATTAAAACATTTGATAAAGCACAAAACAAAGACTTTATGAAATAAATCAAAACTTTGAATCAAAACTTTAAATCAAAACTTTGAATCAAAACACAAACCTTTTTGTTCTTGGCAAAAATGTCAAGAACAATGAAGAACACTCATGAAAAAACTCAAAATTTTCCATGAACATTTTTCATCCAAAAACATTCCAAAACCATTCAAACTTTAGGGAAATAACATCTAATCAAACTAGGGTACATAGGGGTTCCAAAAGTCACTTGAAAACACTTTTAACAAGTCAAACAAGAACCCAAAAATCCACCCTTTGGATTTGGCCGAAAATCCCCAAAGTCATGGCACCAAATTTAGCTCCAATATTCATGCTCATATGAACTACATCTACAACATTTGAGATGGCAAATTTTCTAACAAAATTTAATTCAAAGAAACAAGAATAAAGCTTGTAACATATTACAACTTTTAAATCACAAACTATGAACTACAAAACCCAAAAGGATTCACCAACTACTAGACCTAGGCTCTGATACCACTTGAAGGATTATTTGGTGAAAACATGTTCATTTAAGCAACATCAATAAGCATGCAATTAACAATTAAAGGCGGAATCATGCTTGCATGCACTTAAAAACAAAACATTAACCATGAAATTCAAAGCCTAGTAGATTGGTGAACCAAGACTCAACTCAAATCAAAGTGAGTTGAGAAATATATACCTTTGTAGATTCCTCTTTCCATAAGCAAAGGCTAATCACCCAAAGAGAGAGCCTTCATTCCTTGCATATTAAATCTATGAATTTGGATGGAAGAATAGGATTCTCCAAGTTCCCAAAATAGAGAACCTCTAAGTATCTTCACCAAGGTTAGATTGGAGAAGAAATTAGTGACCTTGGAGTAGTGGGATTGCTAGATGCACCCTCCAAGGGGCCGGCCTCTTTAGAGAGAAAGGGAGAGACATGTTCTCTCTAATTTTCTCTAAAACAAACCTTAATGAACAAAATGCTATAAAGTCATATTTATACCTTTGTTCATTTGAGTGGCAAACTTGTAATTAAAGCAAGTTCACTACCCTTCCTCTAAATGGCCGGCCATAGGGTGTTGTTTGGGCTTTTGGGCTTTTGTGAATTAAGTTGTCATACAACTTAAGTCAATGGGCTTGACGTTCGAAGCCCATTGGGCCTAAACGTCCAAAACTATCCCGAGGTCTTTAACGAACTTATTCGTTTGATTAATTAACATATTAATTAATCCTTGCCATAAATAAATAATTAAACCATTTAATCATTCTTACTCATCTCCATTGTTTCTTCAATCTCCACCTTACACGGTGTGCGATCCATTAGGTTCCTTTTAGCGAGGCAGTGGGCGATTAAAACCATTTTACATCGATTGTGAATTGAAACTTACTTTCAATTCTCCCTTTAGTGATTATACACGTTTAGGGCTTCCACAAACCATGAGTGACACCTAGCAGCATATCATGGTTACCCAAGCTAATCAGAAGAGGTGGAGAACCTATTCAGTTTAGGATTACAAATGCAATACGGTCTTTCTCTAATCTAATACTCTTGACCACATTGTTTGGTTTGATAGTTTATTTATTCATGTCTACTATCCAATGTGATTCGTGTGCTTATATGATTACCTTGAATGTGATTTAGAACGACATTTCTAAATCTCATTCATACTCTGGCCAGAGGTTTTAATCATATCATAGAGTATTCTCCCTCAAACGGTTTGAAGGTTAGAGATCCCTTGTTGCGCATTCACTTGCCTCCATGGCTAAGCGGCTTAACCCCAACGATGCCGTGGACACTCCAATGGAATGACGTTTGACATAATCAAAGATCAAGGACTTAACCACAAGACAACGATGATGTCTCAGGTCAAAGGACTAGTTTGCATTATCCCAACCATGAGTTCTCATGTGACATGAATATGAGAACTCTTCGTTGATCGTGTTCAGTGAACTCATTCTCTATTGAGCACCTACGTACTTGACTTGATGTCACACACACCAATGACTCGAGACTAGTCACTCTCCCTGAGAGAAGACACAGTACGTACCGATCTTAAAGGACTGTCAATGCCCAATTGACAATCCCATGATCAGGAACATTTAGGATGTGTCTACGAAAGAATGGTCTCATGAATCTAACTTCATTAGATTGCATTCTCCCAATCACATATTCCTTGGACTTTATCGTTTAAGCATATAACATTTATATGAGACAGCTCAAACAATAATCTTTGCCCTTTATCTTAAACTAGATTAGTTTAACATGTGAAATGTCCGTAAAGTATTATCATATGATTGGCTTTAGGGCACATTTCCAACAATTCTCAATCCACTATACTGTACTTTACTTATGCTCTGACGTCACGTGTGAAATTGGTTCATTTTCGCTCACAACGCACTCTCGTATTTTGGCACTTTTAGGTTTAATTTATTCACATATTCCACATCACTACGTTTTATGGCTTCATCACCTTACAAGTGTCGGCCAGCACAATTCGGGTCAGAATGTGTCATTGCATGTATTCAAAACCTAATTTAAATGAATATCATACTTAATCTGAAAAAAAAAAAAGTTAAATTACAGAGTAGTAGTATCACTTAAAGTAATAAAGAAAAAGTAAATTATTATTATTATTATTATTATAAATGACAACTGGTGGCAAGTAAAGGTTATCTACTCTTCGGGATCCGGAGAGATTATGAAGAATTTCATCATACCCTTGGCCACCGTCAAACAAACTTACTAGCTCGGAGTATCGAACCCAAGACATCTTACATTTTTTTGTTTATTAGGGCAAAAATAAAACAGTAAAAGTAATTTATGGTAAAATCATAGTAAATTGGTGCATTGATTTGTGGATCATGACCGAAATGCAGTTTTCGTCCTTATATGAACAATTCAAAAAATTGAAATTCGAAATTTGACAAAATGTTGATGATTAGTCTTTCACGCCAACTCGATGAGACTTTCCATCAAGATTAACCACATGCCATGCCATGGACATACTTAAAATGGGTTCATTTCATGCGTGCGCGTTTCCCCTGAAGTGCACAAACCCCCTTTGAAGAACCAATACTCAATTTTCTCTAAATCTCTACTCATAACCTATTTTGTTTATTTATTATTATAAGCGATATTCTAAAGGCATGGGGAACGGTTTGAACGCCGAATGCATTATGATGAAGAAAAAGTCTTTAACCACAAGAATAATTTACTACTTGTCATAATCTTTTCAGTTTCCAATGGTCATTTTCAGTTGTCTAATTGAAAAATGAGAAGGTAAAAAAAACAGTATATGAGGTGTAAGATATAATTTGGTTTAGCAATTTTTTTTAAAATTTTTTATTATTAAGAGGAGAGAGATGATTCAAAGCTCCTACAATAATTTAAAGGATAAAGCAGTTTTGAACCCGGAAAGCATAAGTAAAAATTCAATATTCTATCCATTAACATATTGAACCATATGCTTTTGTAACAACATATTAATTAATTTCCACTCCCAAAAAATACAACAGATTACAATTGTGACTACTTATAGTCACTGTCCGATGACCTCTTCTTCCTTTCTCCACCGTTATAATTCAATCTCCATGTGTTCAGTGATACCTGCAGTTCATTCATCCAACCGTCACTTAAACAAAGTGCACCATGTAATGTTATAGACTGTAAAAATGATATCTCTTATAACCTCTTCCGTTGGGAAGTGGGCGATCCGAACTTTTAACCTCTTGCAATATTACGAAGAGGATAATTATACTAGATTAATAGCTAGTTGAAATTTTTTAGATATATTGGAGTAGTACATATTTGAATGAGAATTCAAAACTATTACAATAATTTAAGGAATTGAAGAGTTTCGAACCCGGAACGCATGACATAATATCATAATATTTAAGCCAAATTAAGCACGCAAGAAACCAAGAGTAACCAATAAAGTAGAATCACACCATTAGTCTGAACTGGTTTGATATTAGGTTGATATGAACATCCACCACTTGTACAGAGCAAACCCATAAACTGTGGCATAAGCAACCAATCTCATGGGATACTTTCTAAATCTGCAAAAGGGAGAATTCGTCAGAACTCAGGACTGCCTTATAACTTTCTGCACAATCCTAACTCATTAATTTACGTTATGATTTTCTTGAAGGTTTTTGAATTGAGCACACACGAACCCTAAATCTAGTTCGATGTTTTTCACTCATGCAAAATTATTTACATGGACGGCTAAAACAAGTGGTTAGCACAGTACAATATTATACAAATAAAAGAGAAAATTGGGCAAATTTGGGGCTATAAATAAGCGGAGTCAAATTGAATATCACTCTACTTAAGCCTTATTTGTTTAAACTTTTTTGAGCTCAAGCAAGGCTTGACTTGCTTCCTAAACAAGCCGAGCTCGAGCAAGCTTAAAATTTCAAGCTTGATACCATACTCAAGCTATTTCGAGTTATTTACTATAATGTGTCGGTCCCTTGTTAAAAAATTTGCAACGTAAGAGCATCTCTGTACACATGAGCTATAACAGTAAAAAAATATCACACTAATATTCTCCAACCGAAGTGTCAAATCCTATGTGACGATGACATAGATTGGCAGCTAAAGAGGTTGCTGTCAAATTTGACAGCAGCTTCAAATGTTTTTTTATTAATTATTAAATATATTTTATTAATTTTTAATTAGTTTAATCATTTATTATAATTAATGTTGAGTTGACCGATTGCAATTATCCTATTTTTTTCTTCTTTTCAATCAAGGAAGGTGAACAAATTATTGATTAAACTTTAAATGTCATTTATTAAATTTTAACTAGTTTAATAATTTATTTTATAAAATAATAAAATAATAATTTAATTTGACATATTGGTTGGAGAATAAAACTTTAAAAGATGTCAAAGTGCCACATAAGCTGACAAAATTTAAATTTTATGATCAAAATTTGACATCTCCTTTGCAGATGGTCTTACATCGCATTTCCATGGTAAAATACATTAAATATCAACACTATACACAAAATATTCAAACATAGGTTTTTTTTTTGTTTTTTGTTTTTTTGACAAGATTCAAACATAGTACTCTAAGATTGGGAAGTTTATTTTGAAACAAAAGAAAACCAAGGGGACTTAATGTCTTAACAAAAGTCAAATTCAAGATAGGCAATCTAAACTTAGAAAGACATGAACATTACTTTTGAAAAACAAAATCTCAATCATGATCTTCATTTCAAGCAAACTTCTTGTATAGAAAATTTAGCTCGATTTATCGGGTGAAAACATATGAGCTAATTACGAGCTTTATGAATCGAACATATCAATTTTCAAGCTTAGTTTCTTGTTATTGAGCTGAACATAACCTTGACTTGCTTCTTTTACGAGCTGAGCTTCGATGAGCCAACACGAGCCAAACCTAATGCAAGCTCAAGTTGCTTCGAGCTGAATTTACAGCTCTAGCTAGGCGATTTCCCGTTCGGCATGGAGATTAACTCCGGCCTGAATAACGAACTAGTTCTTAATTTGGTAATACGTTAATTCAATTCGCCTGCCGGCCTGATTTCTCCTAATGAACTATATCGTTCTGTCAAATAGTCATTTTCTTAATACGAGCGATATTCTTAACGACTTCAAGTACAGGACCTTTGCATCACCCAAATCATAGAACACAAATACGTATGAACACAAATACGCATGTATCAGTCAATTCCTAGCTAATTTTTTCTCTCTCAGGACCTTTGCATCACCCAAAACATTAATTAGAAACGCCACAAAAATCCCAAAAATTCAACTAACCTTGTTATTAATCCAGATCTTTGAGCAATTTCATAGGCTCTCTCCTCGAAGGAAACCGGAGAGGTCCACCGCGAGAAGTCGCGGTCAAAGTAACCCCAATCAGGCAAAAGCAGCCCAGCAATACCCAGCACACCAACCACGTACGTTAATATCATCTTCTTGAACGACTGAGTATATATTCCAACAACCGCCATAATTACAGCTAACCAAACAAGTGAAGATCTGAAAACGGCATCGTTTGCCATGGGAATACTTAGTGACAGAGACCAGAGAAAAGCTTACTGAAAACGACAGGGACGAAGGTGAAGAAGATGGATGGAAGTAGTAGGAAGAAGGACTAGTGTAGTGGTGGGGATGCAGAAAGTGGGCATGATCAGGTTGTGGAGGCGGCCATGCTACAGCAAAAAACCGAACCGAATGAAACTGAACCCGCCCCAGTTTTGAGGATTTGCTTCACAAAATTAAGTGCAGAGAAGTGGTTAGAAAATGCTTTCAATGTGAACCCAACTGTTATTATAAATGCATTTATGTTGTTATCACTCTTTCTTGCCATGTATGCTTTTGCTTAGCTGTGAAATGCATGGGGAACGCCACGTAATCCCCAAGTTTTACACGTTCCATCATGTGACCAGGTTATCATTTAGTACTACGGTCTAATGGTATTTATCTCTTGTGAATAAAAAGTTCTAAGTTCGAATCTTGTGGACTACGAGTTCGATACTAAAATATTCTCTCACTCCTTAGTTTAAATATATCATTGTCTAAATAAAAATAAATAAACAGTAGGCAAGTTTTTGATTTTGACCTAAACCAATTCGGTTCTCGGTTTTATCATTTGAAAACTACATTGGATCATTATGTGTCACTTAATACTATTATCTAATGTATTTCTCTTCCCTTTTTAGTAAAAGCTCTTAGGTTCGAATTTTGTGAATAGGAAGGTTGATATTTATTTATTATGGCTAGTCCATCGTATGGCTTAGCCCAAATCATATAACAATTTCGTTTTTAGTTTTCAAATTTCGTTCACTTTTTCTAAAACTAAAAACTTATGTGATAATAGTTTTTAGTTTCAAAAGATAAAAACCAAAAGCTACTTTTCCGAATTTTCAAAATTTGCTTGATTTTGATTTTTAAAATAAAAACTAAAAACAAATGGATTGTTTGATAACACTTCGTTTTTAGTTTTCACTTTTTTGAAAATTGAATTTTTTTTTTTGTGCTAATGAAAACTAATATCTTGTTTGATGACTACTTTTAATTTTTAGTTTTAAAAAAATGAAAATTGAAACCTAAAAAGTGAAAACTCAAGGTAATTTTGAAAATTCAAGAAAATGTTACAGTCCTATTAGATTAGGAATATGACTACGTAAATCCTAGTATATTTAGGGATATCTTTGAATATTCCCTTTAGAAGTTAATATCCTATTAGAGTTGTTATCCTATAAGGGTAAGGATTTAACATATCATACTACTATAAATAAAGGCATAATGGAGTGATACAACACACACCTTAGAATTACATCTCTCTCTTCTCTCTCTCTACCGCCCATCCCTCACCCTCTCTAGTCCTAATTACAGTTCAGTAAATTAGGCATACAACACGTTATCATCACGCTCTTGCCAGAAGCTAAGGAACTAAATGATCGTGGATGAGGCTTTCTTCTACAACATCAAAGGCTTTCAATTATTTCTTTTCTTTGAACTGTTGACTATCTATCGTAGTCCCGACGCACTTACACTTGGGTTCCTGAAGCAATCCACAAATTCACTTCATTTTATTGTATATTGTATTTTGTGTTCTTGCAGATACCCCTATATATAAACCAAACGTTCATACCTAAATCAAACCTGTAGTTTCGAATTTAATGCCTTTGAAACCTGCAGTTTTCATTCAAAACTTACCACATGAAACTCGTAGCTTTTATGCTTAAATTATACCAATACATGTCTATAAAACCCGCATGGTCTACGATATATGTCTATGGTTTTCCATATGACTAACCACGTCTTGTTGTACCCTCTGTTTTAGGGACATGTCGAACTTGAACAAGCTCGATTTCACCACTCTAGAAGTCTCTAGAAGAAACTATCAAAAGTGGATTCAAGACGTGAAGCTCTATAGCAAAGAGTCTTAGAGCTACTATCGAGGAAGCTACCAACGATGAACTTGTCGACGAAGCTCAGAAAGCTACTGCTATGATCTTCATTTGAAGACACATCCCTGATGCATTGCAGTTCGAGTACCTCGTAGAGGAGGATCCACGTACCCTTTGGCTCGCTATGGCCGATCGCTTTAATCACCAGAAAGACTTTTACTTGCCTGAAGCAAGACACGACTGGCATCATTTACACTTCCAAGACTTTAAGTCTGTGAATGAATACAACTCTGAAGTTTGTAGAATCCAATCACTGTTTAAGTTCTGTAAAGATGACTTAACCAAACATGATCTCCTAAAAAAGACATATTCGACCTTCAATGTCACCAATATTGTCTTGCAGCATCATTATAGGGTATAAAAGTTCACCAAATTTTCGGATTTGATATTTGTTTTACTTCTCACTGAAAAGCTGAACCAGCTTTTGGTGAAGAATCATCAAGCTCGATCAACTGGCTGGAACGCTTCTTCTGAAACGTATGCAACTAATTTTAGTAGCCACAACCGAAGGGAACCCCATCGTGGCAGTGGAAAGGGGTGGCAAGCTCCACCACGAGCCCAAGGTCAACAAAAAAGAGGCCCACCCAAGGGAGAAAATTTGACCTAGAAAAGCCAAACCCTTTCCCCTAAGGCCCCAAACTAAAAAAACAAGGGAAAACTACCATTCAATTGACTTCCACTGAACTGGACATGTACTACCACTGTGGATCAAATGATCATTGGTCACACGTATGTCGAGCTACCTCTAAGACTATTGCCAAGTATCATTCCCGTCGTGAGACTAACTTTGTGCATGTAGAACATCCCAAAGATGTTATTACAACTCTGGAGGTTTCAGATTTTCAAGAGGCATCCGCTCCCATGGAAGAATAAAGTTTTATTTTTCTATGACATGTTAATGTGTTTTTACACCCCTAGTGGCCGAACCCCCCCCTAAATTTTAGGTTTACAGTTTATTTTTTGGATAATTTTTCTAAATCTTTGGAATTATTTGTTTGGATTGGTTTGTTTTGATTTATGGATAATTATTTTATGGACATTATTTCTTGAATTGATTAATTGAATGAATGGAATTATATTTATGCATGTGACCGATTCAATTAATTTATTTCTAGGTATGATTAGTTACGAAGTTAGTTGTTTGACTGATAGTGCCACCACGCACATCATATTGCGTGTGAAACACTATTTTATTAACTTCGTACCTAAAAATGCACATCTAACAACCCTCTCAGGCCCATCCAACCTGATAGAAGGATACGGAAAAGCTTGTATTATGTTGTGTAATGGTACTAAATTAACCATTAAAGAGGCACTTTATTCTCCACATTCTGGAAGAAAGTTGCTGAGTTTTAGAGATATTCAAGATAATCAATATCATGTTAAAACCACTGAAGAAAATGGTTCTGAATTTCTTTGTATCACTTCTTATGAATATAGCCGGAAGCATATTCACGAGAAGCTAGAACCTCTCCCGAGTGAGTTGTACATAACAACCATTTGCTGTAGAGACCCATCACGTGGCCGGCCCTATTGCTGGGTTCCAGAGCACTCTCCTGCTTTGGCATGATCGAATGAGACACCTTGGACGAGATATGATGCCTTGTATCCTCAAAGTATCACATGGGCATCACTTAAAATCTTATCTCAGCCATCCACTTTGCAAAGCATGCTCCTTGGAGAAGCTGAACATTCAACCCTCGCTTGCAAAAATTATTTACAACCCCCCTAAATTTCTTCAGAGGATTCAATGGGATATTTGTGGACTTATCCAACCAACATGCGGACAATTTAGATACTTTATTGTGTTGGTTGATGTATCGACGTGATGGTCACATGTCTGCTTATTATCCACACTTAATGCTGCATTTGTAAAATTCCTAGCATAAATTATTAAGCTTAGGGTCACCACCCTGATTATCCGATCAAGTCGATTTGACTGGATAACGCTGTAGAGTTTACGTCACAAATTTTTGACGATTATTGCATGTTAGTTGGAATTAAAGTTGAACATCATGTACCCCATGTTCACACTCAAAATGGCCTGGCAGAAGCTTTCATAAAGCGCATTCAAACGATAGCTCGAACTTTGGTTATGAGAACCAACTTGCTAGTATTTGCATGAGGCTATGCAATATTGCACATAGCTATGTTGGTCTACCTGAGGTCCACCACTACCCAACCTCATTCATCGTTACAATTGGTTACTGGATACGAGTCTGACGTCTCGCATTTACGTGTGTTTGGGTGCGTAGTCTATGTGCCAATAACGCTGCCATTATGTACCAGAATGGGTCCTCGGAGAAAAATGGTAATCTATGTCAGTTATAATTCACCATCAATTATTCGTTACTTAAAACCTTTGATAGAAGATCTTTTTACTGTATGTTTTACGGATTATCACTTCAATGAGACAGTCTTCCTATCGTTAGGGGGAGATAATATCACTAACGTTCCTGTAGAACGCCGCGAATTGTCGTGGAATACTCCTACTATGTCTCATTTAAATCCCCGCACCCCTCAGTCTGAAACTGAAGTGCGATGTATTATAGATCTTCAGAGCATCGCTCAAAGCATGCCGGATACATTTACTGATATAGCAAGGGTAACGATATCACATATACCAGCTGTAAATGCACCTGCAAAGATGGACGTACTCAACGTACGCCGTATCATCGCCTTAGAAGGCTGGACCGTCCCCGAAGGTGGGGCGGCTGCACCCCCACGTGGCCCGGTACACTAGGGATTAGCCAATCATCTGCTTCTACCCTGAAGCGTGGCAGACCCCCTGGTTCAAGGGATTCACAACCCCAGAATAGGAAAATAGCACAAACTAGTAATCCTAGTTTGAATCCGACCATTGCTTACTCATATGTTCCAACGCGTGAGGTTGTTTTAGATTACAGTGATGTCTTAGACGAGACAAACTAGCCTCCCGAAAATCATGAGATTTCGGTCCATTATGCAGTTTTGGATGAGGTTTGGAATCAGAATGAGATGATTGTCCATGATTCATTTACGTATATAGTTGCTTCTGACATCATGTTTAGCTATGACATTGAACCACGTTCCGTTGATGAATATCGACATAGAACAGATTGGTCAAACTGGAAACAAGCAATCTAGGCTGAACTCGATTCGCATGCGAAACATAAGCTGTTTGGGCATGTAGCTCATACTGCACCACATGTGAAGCCCGTGGGCTACAAGTGGGTTTTCGTGAGGAAGTGTAATGAGATGAATGAAATAGTATGATACAAAGCACTCCTCGTAGTGCAAGGCTTCTCTTTACGCCCTGGGGTTGATTACGAAAAGACGTATTCCCCCGTAATGGAC